GTTTTCATCAAAAATATCTTAAATTGTGTTCCGAAGACGAACGAAGCTTTTACGGGTTTGGAACGACATGGGTGTAAGTGATTAATGACAACGTTTTCATTTTGGGGTGAAGTATCCCTTTAAGTTTAACCTTTACAAAACGTACTGTGGCAGTACCATGTTAAGGACTTTAGTATTTGCAACTTCAGGGATCTTATCTATGCACAATCAGCTTGTAACACTCCAAAGAGAAAGGAACACTTGAAATAGCATCATATGACCCCTTTAAGTACATCTTTATATGTATTTTCAATATGGTAAAATAAACTTCAATTGAAACTTGTATGTCATATCCATTCATAATGCTTAAGTTGCATTTATTTACTTTTAAAGTAACTTGCTTTAGTATGTAAGTCAACACATCAAAATAAGTGCTCTTCTTTAAAGCACAACAAACTTAGTAAATCTTTTGATTTGACAATATTACAAAAGTACACTTTTTAAAAGTGTACTTAATTGAATTGTGAAACAGTTATGTAAGTGTCTCTGCTATAGTTTTTTTTTTAAATATACTTTTAAGATTTGAAGTACACTACAAGTGTTAAAAGTATACGGTTAAGCATACTTCTTTACATCCTTTATGTCCATTATATTATACCATGGTAAATGATTCTCATAATCGTGTTAGCATGATGCATTAAAGTATACAGAAGAATACCGAGGTACCACTTTTCTGTCAGATAAACGTACAATAGGAGTGCATAAAACACAGCAACCTACTTATTACTGTATTTGACTTCTAAAACTAGCACCATACTTTTGAATCAGAGCGCGTGAATCAATGCTCTGCTGGTCTCTCACCGTTTCTGAGCTCACGGATGTTCGGAGTTTCTCCATCACGGGAATGATTTCTCCGTTCCTCTCCGGCACCGGCGGCGGCGTGTCTTCCCGCATCATCTCGTCGCTGACCTCGGCCTCATCTTCACACTCGGGCACCGGAACGCCCTCCGTGACAAACTCCTTCAAACACTTCAGCTCGTGTTTCTTCAGCAGCTGGTCGGTGTCCACGTCCACCACTATAAGCTCCAGGTTCCCGGCGCTCGCGCGTATCCTCGCCACGACCCGCTGATGGCTGTCGCTCTCCACGCGCTCTCCGTTCACGAACGCCAACCTGTCGCCGGCGCGCAGACCGGACACCTCGGCGGGGGAGTCGGGCTCCACCAGGCGGATGAACTGGCCGCTTTTGCCCTTCTCTCCGTGCAGATGGAAGCCGTATCCGTTCTCGCCCTTCTCCAGGACGCAGAGACGCGGGCGCAGAGTCTGGCTGGGCATCACGCGAGTCACCTGTTGATTTAATCTGACAAATAAATAGAAACGAAGGCTAAATGAGAGTCCTGCGCTCAGATGCTCACGGATGAAGCATGTTAACCCACTCGGCCTCAGTAAATGAAGGGATTTGTTGTTGATAAAGTTTGAGAGGAAAGTTCTAGTGTTCCAGTGTTTGATCGGCAGCACATCAGCATCCAAATCCAGCCCATGGAGGAGTGACTCCTATAGAACCTCCTCCTCCTCTAATGGCTCTCTGCACTCAAAGAGAAAGCAGGGTGGACTGGGGTAATCGCTGGGACTTTTTTTATTTTTTGCACTTTCGACTTATGTTATTTACTGTAATGCCATCAGCACAATTCACAAATGACATCTCCCTTGGGAATTTCCCGTTTTGGAAGTCTGCTTTAGATTATCATACATAAAATATGATTTTAAAAAGATATTGGAAATTATTAACGGCGTGTTAAATGATATAAATAAATGACAACTGCAGTTATGGTTTCAATTCCTCCTGCCAAAACCAAAAATTGTTTCAAAAGTTAGTGCACTTCCATCAGTGTCAGTGAAGATCTTATAAGGCATGTGATAAACGTAGAAAACAAAGCAAAACCAAGGTAAACAACACTTCTAAGCAGAACATTTTCCAATCAAATATTGTCCAATGGAATTAAAAAAAAAAAGTAGTTTCACAATTCGAATCAATATTTTGTTGCCTTCTTATGTTCTTGTGAATAGTACTTGTGCCGGATTTTTGGGTTTCTTGCCCTTTGAAGGAGCAAATGTAGGCTACACATCAGAAAATGTAGTATTACCAAACGATATTATTCATACATATATCTTGATCTATGAATATGGATATTTTTCTTACAAAAACGCATCGATTCGCTACAGGAGGCCTTTGTTCACCCCCCGGAGTCGTGCAAGACATTTTTTTATGGATGGGCGCTTTTTATTTAACTTCTTTTGGACTGATGCATGCAACACCCGCTGAGTGGCATTAAACAGCTTGAAAGATCAAAGACAATTTTTAATGTAACTCCGACTGGATTCATCTGAAAGAAGAAAGTCATATACACCTAGGATGCCTCGGGGGTGAGTAAAACACAGCCTAATTTTCATTTTTGGGTGAACTAACCCTTTAAGACTACTTGGAAACTGGAGATACAGCTTATAGTCATTGCAGTGGCAAACCACAAGTGACCATATGTACTCCCAGATGTGTTGCAAGTGAGATCTTGAAAGTGCCCTGGTGGAAGAGTGGAGTCACAGCAAGATCTGGTGAATATGGCTCTGTTCATGAGGTTGAGATGCACTGCAGTACTTCTTACATCAGTACATCATTAGTTCATATATATTCAAAGAGTTAGAAACGTGAGATAATGTGCTTGTTAATGTTTTCTAATAAACTTATTAAGCATTAGATAATGTTTAACAAATCATTACGGTTCAATCTGTTTATATGATATCGTTTTGATGAACAAGCATTTTCTTTAAAAAAAAAATAGTGTTTTCTCCTGTTTATTTATGATTTAAGGAATATCCTGTTTAATGATATACTGAAGAGTAGTATACTAATGTGAGTGTTGAGACAATAAATATTAAATATTACAATCTGTTTTGTCTTTAGCAAGCATTTAGCTAAACTCAACCAGCCACCCTTTACACAAACCTTGTTACATTAGCTAAACGTCCCATGCCCATAAAGATACTAAATGATTAGTAATAGTTTATAAACATTTTAAATGATGAACAGTTTCAACTTTAGATTAGCTACTGCAAAAACATGAACAAATGATTAATAAATGATTAGTAAATATGTGTGGATAGGGTCAACTCAGGACTTTCGGGACACTTTTTGCCATTGAGATGACTGCTCATAAAGGTATTAATGATTAGCCAACATTTATAAACATTTGCATATGATGAATAGTTTCCACTTTAGATTGAGTAGTACTGCAAAAATATGATTTTAATAGATATATCACGGGGTGATTTATGTATGCTATATGCTAATATTATTCATATGTGTTATATGTGCAGCAGCAGCATTTCTTACATGCTCACAGCAGCATGTTGTGGATGTATTGGCAGTAGCAAGTCTCAGTACTTGCTCCGCCGCAGCAGCCTTAAATTTATGCTGACTTGCATTAAAAATCAAACAGTGTTTTATTATAATTATTATATTACTTCAATATCAGAATGAGAATTTACATACTTCTCTTTTCCTTTTATTTTGGAATGAAATGTGACCTGAACATTACGAGATTCACTTGTTAGGGTTTTGTTTGTTAAAGGCTGGTTTCATTTCATCTTAACACCGCACTGCATGTTGCATCAAAATGCATATTAACACATTGTTAACCCATCAATGCTTCAGGTTCAATGATCTTCCAAACGATCTTCAGTTACATGTCAGATGTGCAGTGCCTGCAAAAGCAGCCTTTTTACTGCTGAGACTGAGATCCCTTTCTGGCTCATCAAGTCGAGAAGAAACCAGTCACAGAGGAACTCAACATATTTAATGTTCTTTCTAGCTCATTACTCTTTGCCATGAGCCAAATATTTAACAAACAGGTGCAGCGTGAGGTCACATGACTCATGACGTCACAAAGCAAACACATGACCAATAGCAGCCTTCAGAACAAGATCAAATAACATTTACATTTATTAATTTGCCAGATGATTTTATGCAAAACAACTTACAAGGAATAATACAACACAAGCATTTACTCATTCAAATAAAGTGTGTTAATCTTCTCTTGTCACAAACCGAAACCTGATGTTCACGTAATTCACTTTATTATTTAAAAGTGCAGGACACATATTTGAAATGTTAAAGGTAAGGCAATTAAATCATTAAGCTCGTTATTATTGATTAGTAATTCTCAATGTGTAATACCGCCCCCCTGTGGCTTTAAATATTAAAATGATGGAAAACACCAGAAGCACAAAAAACCCTCTTTCAAAACACGTATGTGGTTACGTTGGACTTTCTCATGGCACTTTGTGATCACTATGAAAAATGTAAAGCGTACAGATGAGACAAATCAAAATATTGTACGATACAACCCAGATTCACATTTCACATCAATCTCCAAGTCATACCCCTGTTAAAAAAACCAGCATATGCTGGTTAGGTATGTTTTGCTGGTCCTTTGCTGGTTTAAGCTGGTCATGTGCTGGTCTTAAGCTGGTCGGACCAGTTTAGGACCAGCACATGACCAGCTAAGGACCAGCATAAACCAGCAAAGGACCAGCATCCCAGCTTCAAAACATACCGAACCAGCATATGCTGTTTTTTTAACAGGGACAGTGAGTGTGACAGGTATGAAAGTGTGACATGCTTGTACGCGAAGCAAAAAGAAACCTATATTACCTCATAATCAGGCCTGACTTGGTCAAGCTGTGCTATGATTGTTTTTAAGTCAATATATACTGATTGTAAAAAATAATACTTAAAGCTGCAGTCCGTAACTTTTTTGTGTTCAAAATTAACAATTTATATAATAAGCGAGTACACCATGAATCCATTTTCCAAACGGTGTTTTTGGCTTATCCTGAATCACCACGGTACACATATAATAAATGTTAATATTCGGACTATTTTAGACTGGGTCGGCTAGGTACCGCTGCGGAGTAGCACAGTACCTGCGTGATTCGTCATAGACATAAACAGAGAGAAGTAGCTCCGGCTACAATGTTCTTCCGCAAGACGCATGCAGTTCTGTTTATTAACCACTAGAGCGCCAAAAGTTACGTACTGCAGCTGATATTTTGACTCGGCAAGACACTCAAATATACAGTAAAGAATTTTATATATAAAAACACTACAGACACAAGCTCACCGCCCAATTCGAGCACATTTGCGTGGCATATAATGTAATACAATACTAATATATTTTATGCCGTGTGTAGGTAGAGGCTATAACCATCAGAGAAGAAACCCGGAAACCACGTTACACAAACAAACGTACCTGGACTAATCAGACACACCTGGATACTGTACACACCTGGATTAATACAGTTTTTAAAGCAGAAACATATTACTCTGATGCACCTCAGCAGTATTTGGCTGTATATTCCTGACTATAAAGCGAACAGGGGTCTGGGGGATCGGACACATCGAAACAAAGCACGTTTCAGACATTCACACACGTCTTGGTGTACGGATATCTGTAGTGTTGGTCACATGAGGCCGCCGCAGCAGTTGGACTTCTGCTTCTGTGACTCGATGTAATCATGGATCTTGAACTTGGGCTCGTGGGGCTGCTGGATGTTTCTGTGCTTGAGTTCTCTGTGTGGAAATGAAGGAGAAAACATATTCATTAGTTTCAGTGTAATAACTAGAAATAGAAAAGTTTCAAGCTGGGTTCAAAACGACCCAATAGCTTTTTAACCCAGCGCTGGGTTATATTTAACCCAGCATTTTTTAGAGTGAAAATAAAAAGGTTTAAAAATTAATTTTTAATAGTCTTTTGTCATGCTTTAATGCAATGTACAGTGTGTTATTCAAAATAACATTTAAAGTTAATACATGTGCTAAAGTGCAACTACAAATGTGTAATTACAAACATATTTCAATAAATGACATGCAGGTTTCAATAGAAATTGCATTCAATTCTATTTGAGTTTACCATGAATGCTTGTCAGTACATTTGGCAATGCACTTTAACCATATTTTACAGACAATAGAAGTATTTTTTATACTTTATATGTAATAATTACATATAATGATGTGATTATGTCCTACATAAGTGGGTCAAAAACACTCATAAGTTAATTTAATTGCATTTAATATAAATTTTAACTATAACACAACCATTTAATCATTTAATTACTATTATATTAATATCAAACTAATACGCAATTGTCTGAAAAAAAAAACACATTTAGGTATATTTACATAAGTACTCTTTAATAAAAAGTACGTTAACACTAAGTATTTTGCATTAGTATTACAAAGTTGTTGCTAAATTGTCCTGAGTTGTTGTTGGCAAACTATAGGGTGAAAAAAATTTAAATTTTACAAATAATTAATACCAAGAAATGGCAAGTAACACATTGAATTAAACATGAAGTTTACATTTTGACATATAACAACTGAAAGAGCTTATTCTTGTCAAATGTACTCAAAATAATCAGTTTTATTTACAACTTCAAAATATCATTTTACACAGAGCATTTGGTTGCTAATTAGTTTTTGTTGGTTGCCAGGGCTTGTCTAGACAGTTACTAGGGTACTCCGACTAAGCAGTCGCTTACTTGTCAAGAGACCATAGTGATTATTAAAACTAAAAAAAAACTGAAGGAGTCTCATGCTGATGTTTAATACTGGTTTCAATCGGCGTACAAGCAACAGTAACAGTGACGATTGTTTCAAATTCACTTAATGTTTACATTATATATATATATATATATATATATATATATATAGAAAACCTCAAACCTTGCTATGGCATGGAAAGCGAGTTCCACATTGACACCAGTCTTGGCACTTGTCTCCATGAAAGGGACTCCATATTCCTTCAATAAAGAAAAAAGCAGAGCATTGCAGTTAAACAAACTGCAATGTTTACTGATCATTTGTAATAGCAGTTATATGGACATGTTACATTCATGTACGCTCATACCTTAGCCAGCTTCTCCCCTTCTTCATGTGTGATCACCCTCTCAGCAGCCATGTCTGACTGTACAAACACAATTTCATATTGTGGGAGAACTTGCACAATTGGTGGCTGACTAAATACTTTTTTCCCCCACTGTAAATATCAGCAACTGCACCAAATCGCTTATTTTGCTCAGTTTGGGCATCTGAATAAAACTGATGTGTGTTTGTTCCTCTTCGAGTTTGAGCTCCATATTCTCACTATATTGTACTACATGAGCAATAAAAGCCTGATGTATCAAATATGATACTTTTTTTAAAAGATTTTGTCTAAACTGTTCCATTAAAAAAAAATTGTATATATATATTATTTTTATTTTTTCCCCCCCAAAATTATTTCTCATATGCAAATTACAGGCCTCTCATCTTTTTAAGTGGGAGAACTTGCACAATTGGTGGCTGACTAAATACTTCTGAATAAAACTGAATAAAACTGATGTGTGTTTGTTCCTCTTCGAGTTTGAGCTCCATATTCTCACTATATTGTACTACATGAGCAATAAAAGCCTGATGTATCAAATATGATACTTTTTTAAAAGATTGTCTAAACTGTTCCATTAAAAAAAAATTTTATATATATATTATTTTTATTTTTCCCCCCCCCAAAATTATTTCTCATATGTCAGGCTTTACAGAGTTAAGCATTCAGTTACATATTCCCTTCCTCTTAGTCATTTTTCATCCTTCTGTCTCTCTACTAACAGTGATTTTTGCTTGAGGGACAAGTCAAAATGTTCTGTGTAACAGCCTGTACTGAACCCAGGAACTTTCCTTTAATATCAGACAAGGCTTTCTGGCTACATTAGGGCCTTTAGGGGGCGCTATCTAATCCAGTGCAAAACCAGTTAGAGCAGTTAAACCAGAACACACCCCAACCACACGTCACAAGATAAAAGACAACCAAAGGTGGTAAAAATGCTTGTCTAAAATGAATTACTGCCTAAAATGACACACTGACACATAAAAGGCAGAGAAGCATAAAGGAGATCAAAAAAGAAAAAAAAACAACTGATTTGCAGCTCTCCCTCTCTCTCTGTGTGTCTGCATGTGCATTAAACGTTATTTGCACATTTAAAGAGGGGCTGCTTATTTCTTTTCACTCCTTTCAGGAAGTCCCACTTACCTTGTTGCCAAGCAACATGATGACCACATCCTTCTGTGCATACTCATAGATTTCAGTCAGCCAGGCCTGCATAGTGATAGACATGTAAAAAAAAAAAAAAACACTTTGAAGGACAAGACTGGACAAGATCTGCAGTAATAATGAATGTCATTTCACAACCCACGCTAACAACAGCAAGAAACGAGAACATCAAATAAGCGTGCATCTGAAAATGTCTTGAAATGTTTGTTTGTCTTACTCTGATGTTGTCGAAGGAGGACTTTCTCGTGATGTCATACAGCAGCAGCAGAGCTGGAATAGAAAGCACAGCATGTCCAAGTCACACCGTACTGTATGATTCAGAGCTGAGCTTTATAGTAATTAAACACTGACTCAAACGTCTGTCGTGTTCTTCAGGAGTTGTGACTGTACAAATTTCACCGCAGTGTTTAAAGTTCACTGCAGTGATCTCCCACAGAGACTGAAACTAAACTAAATATTCTACTGAGGAACTGTTTTTGTTAGGCAAAGATGATAAATGTGAGCCTGGAGCACAAAAGCAGTGTTAAGTCGCTGGGGGATATTTGTAGCAATAGCCAACAATACATTGTATGGGTCAAAATTATCCATTTTTCTTTTGTGCCAAAAATCATTAGGATATTAAGTAAAGAAGATATGTTCCATGAAGATATTTTGTAAATGTCCTATTGTAAATATATCAAAACTTAATTTGTGATTAGTAATATGCATTGCTAAGATCTTCATTTGAACAACTTTAAAGATGATTTTCTCAATATTTCGATTTTTTTGCACCCTCAGATTCCAGATTTTCAAATAGTTGCATCTCAGCCAAATATTGTCCGAACCCTACATCAATGGAAAGCTTATTTATTCAGCTTTCAGATGATGCATAAATCTCAATTTAAAAAAAAAATGGACCCTTATGACTGGTTTTGTGGTTCAGGGTCACACACACACACACACATATATACAGTATATATGTGTGTGTGTGTGTGTGTGTGTGAGACGCCGTCTGGATTTAAATAAGTAAATGCGTAATATTTAATTATTGGATCATTATTGCATTGATTAAAATGTTTCTAGCATTTTGTATGTTTGGCAACAATTCTTTTTTTGTGTCACACCCAAGAACACCTGTGACCCACGGTAAAATCACGGTAATGCACGACCCTACATAACTCACTGTTTTAAAAAGATATGGCACCAGTAATGAAGTCTGTTAGAAGACAAGTGCAAGTGTCTCAGTGAAGATGGCATATTTACCCTGAGCATCTCTGTAGTATGCGTGAGTAACACTGCGAAACCTCTCCTGACCGGCCGTGTCCCAAATCTGCAGGAGAGGAGCGTTAACAGGTGAAGCTTCATTTATGTGTCAAGTAGGGGTGAATTCAGTTAAATTGGGACACTAGACTGGGGGATGTAATAAAGCTGATCTTTGAACAGCTAGGAGGCCAACCAAATTTAATTTTGTGAAGAAAATGTGAGTGGCGCTTGCCTGTGCAAAACACACCACCACATGCAGTCTGGCTGGTTGCTAGGGCATTTCTAGGTGGTTGCTAGGGTGTTATTGGTACTTGCTAAGTGATTCCTTACTGATCCAAGTCAAGAGTTCACTCCCTGGTCTTTATGACATTCTGGTCTGTAGATACAGCTCGGCTCACTTCAGTGTTGGGGAAAGTTACTTTTAAAAGCAATGCATTACAATATTGCGTTACTCCATATAAAAGTAACTAATTGCCTGCCTTAGTTACTTTTTATGGAAAATAATGCATTGTTATTTTGCATTACTTTTTGTCACCTGAGCTGGGCTTACTCATTTTTAATAACAAATGAGCAAAACTTTATATTTTTGGCAACTATACACTCTAAAAAATGCTGGGTTAAAAATAACCCAGCGCTGGGTTAAAAAGGGACAAACCCAGCTGTTGGGTTGTTTTGACCCAGCGGTTGGGTTGTTTTGACCCAGCTCTTGGGTTGTTTTGACCCAGCGGTTGGGGTGTTTTGACCCAGCTCTTGGGTTGTTTTGACCCAGCGGTTGGGGTGTTTTGACCCAGCTCTTGGGTTGTTTTGACCCAGCGGTTGGGGTGTTTTGACCCAGCTCTTGGGTTGTTTTGACCCAGCGGTTGGGGTGTTTTGACCCAGCTCTTGGGTTGTTTTGACCCAGCGGTTGGGGTGTTTTGACCCAGCTCTTGGGTTGTTTTGACCCAGCGGTTGGGGTGTTTTGACCCAGCTCTTGGGTTGTTTTGACCCAGCTCTTGGGTTGTTTTGAACCCAACCGCTGGGTCAAAACAACCCAATAGCTGGGTTTGTCCGTTTTTAACCCAGCACTGCGTTATATTTAACCCAGCATTTTTTTAGAGTGTAAAGGCCTTTTACACCAAAAGTGAAATTAGTAAGCCTCAGCCTGAAGGAAGTACCTTTAACTCTGCACCTCACTCCCAATTTATCTCAAAACGGGGACAGAAGAGGTGTCAGTGAATAAATGGGAAAACAAAGTTTTCCCATTTATTCACAAAAAAAAGTAACTCCGATATTTTCCTGTAAAATTAAAAGTAATGCATTACTTTACTAGTTACTTGAAAAAAGTAATCTGATTACGTAACTTGTGTTACTTGTAATGTGTTACCCCCAACACTGGATCCCTTCTTCACTCTAAAGCTATGGGATTTTTGTAATCCATTTTATCATCCAGCAGGTGAAAATCTGATCATAATAGCAACCATCTGCTCAAATCGCATTATTCATGCCCATATGCCAAACAGTACAGGACAGGAGTTCAATACAGTACTCAAATCAGTGTAATTAATAGTGATGCTTGTCTTGTTTGCTTACCTGGATTTTGACTTTCATGTTATCCACAGTCACCACCTTATTCTTATTATTACGCACCAGGAAGAAGAACAAACACCCATTAAAACACAGTACTCAGAAATGTTCTGAAAGGCAAAATAATGAACAGTAAATAGTTTGTTATTCAAGGAAATCACGCATAATCAAACAGGAAAACAGTTTAGCTACTACTAAAGTGAGATCTCCAACCGTGCTATTTTGCTTTTGTGTGGCCAGGCTCTCCACACAGACTTAATTATATAGTGTAGATGAAATAACAGACCAGCTCCCTGCTTAATTTCCTGTTGACGTCAGCCGTTACTTCCTTTGTGAGCCAAATGTTTTAAAATCGTACCTTCTGCACTGAGAGGACCAGACTTATCAGATGTTTTCGTGCACCAAATGGCAGTGCAATCAGAGACGTCAGTCACACAAATGGAAGTGAGATTTTCGGAGATGAGTAATTATCATCCACAGACATTCACATACAGGCACCCAATCATTCATTCCTGAATATCTACACGGTGACTATACTTAATGCTGACTGATCAAAAAACGTAGGCGTTTAAAGCTGAAGCATGTGATCTTTCTCTTTTCTCAGCTTAATGTGGGGAGACAACTCAAAGTAGTTTGATTTGTAGGTGTCACCACTTGCACAGAAACTGCACGCTTCACCTTTTAAATTCACTAATAGTAGAATACTAAAATAAAACCGTATAAAATAACACTTACATCAAACCTGGCATGTGTCTTCAATAGCTGAATATATAAGCAAATTAAAATGAGGTTTGAGATTTAAAAAGAGGAGATTCTGCGAACACATATTCTGCTAAATTTCTTCTTTTGTGATTCACAAAAAAAAACAAAGTCAGGTTTGGAGCAACAGGAGATTAAATGATGACAAAACTGCTTTTGTGGATGACTATAGAGCAATAGTAATCACAAATGCATGCTTTGGCTGCTTACTCCTTCCAGGAAGTTCTGCATAAATAAATTAAATCAGAGCAGAGTACAAAGCAATTCGAGGAGAACATCAACCGGTTCAGTAAGAATGCAGGTATGTCTCCATTGTTCCTTCAATCAGCATTGCATATCTGACTTGAATGAACAGCAGAGCTCAGATGTCTTGTTGTATCTCCAAGGGCAAGCTAACAAAAGCTGCAGATTAAGATAAAATTAAATCCACTAATGGAAGTGAGATTTTCGGAGATGAGTAATTATCATCCACAGACATTCACATACAGGCACCCAATCATTCATTCCTGAATATCTACACGGTGACTATACTTAATGCTGACTGATCAAAAAACGTAGGCGTTTAAAGCTGAAGCATGTGATCTTTCTCTTTTCTCAGCTTAATGTGGGGAGAAAACTCAAAGTAGTTTGATTTGTAGGTGTCACCACTTGCACAGAAACTGCACGCTTCACCTTTTAAATTCACTAATAGTAGAATACTAAAATAAAACCGTATAAAATAACACTTACATCAAACCTGGCATGTGTCTTCAATAGCTGAATATATAAGCAAATTAAAATGAGGTTTGAGATTTAAAAAGAGGAGATTCTGCGAACACATTCTGCTAAATTTCTTCTTTTGTGATTCACAAAAAAAAACAAAGTCAGGTTTGGAGCAACAGGAGAGTAAATGATAACAAAACTGCTTTTGTGGATGACTATAGAGCAATAGTAATCACAAATGCATGCTTTGGCTGCTTACTCCTTCCAGGAAGTTCTGCATAAATAAATTAAATCAGAGCAGAGTACAAAGCAATTCGAGGAGAACATCAACCGGTTCAGTAAGAATGCAGGTATGTCTCCATTGTTCCTTCAATCAGCATTGCATATCTGACTTGAATGAACAGCAGAGCTCAGATGTCTTGTTGTATCTCCAAGGGCAAGCTAACAAAAGCTGCAGATTAAGATAAAATTAAATCCACTGACGCGCGCACACACACAAAAAATCTGATGTTTAGGGTTGGGAATCGAGAATTGGTTCTTTTTCAAAACGGTTTAAATTTGTGTTTTGTTTATTAAAAATACAGGAACATTCCTTTAATAGTTCTTGAGCATGTTCACTTCCACTCTTCCCACTGAAAACGCATATATCTAGATTTTTCAAAATTTTCAATAAATTCAATAAATAAATGAAGAGTTCATTCGCAAAAACCGATAAACGCCACTTTCAAAAAAAATCATTGCCGTGCATTATTCTCCACATATAGCGCGATCTGAACCCTAAACACGTTTTGTCCACTTTCAAAAGTTCAAGTTTCACTGCAGAAGCCGATAAGCGCCCTTGCTGTTTTTGAACAGAAGCCGATAAGTCCATTTCAGCGAATCAGCGCGCTGTATTCAGGTCAGGTGACAAGGCTACATTCACTTTGAAAAGACGTGCTAGCTGAGAGGAGTTTCGTCAAAGCTGACTAAAAGTGATCGAGGATGGATAATTTAGACGAACTTGATGAACCTGTGATATCTTCTTCAGGGAGAAAAAGGGAAATAAAAGCTGAAAGGTTTTCTTGGTAGCTTGCAAAAGCAGCGCGTTACACTGATGAGGGAAACGCTCCGTGTGCTGCGTGTAATCACATCCATACAGTTTATGATCACAACAACAACAACAACGTTTGTGTGCTAGCTGAGAGGAGTTTCGTCAAAGTTGACTAAAAGTGATCGAGGATGGATCATTTCGATTAACTTGATGAACCTGTGATATCTTCTTCAGGGAGAAAAAGGGAAATAAAAGCTGAAAGGTTTTCTCGGTAGCTTGCAAAAGCAGCGCGTTACACTGATGAGGGAAACGCTCCGTGTGCTGCGTGTAATCACATCCATACAGTTTATGATCACAACAACAACAACAACGTTTGTCAGGCGTCTACACCGTCATCTGAGGAGATTACAAAGATTAAACCAGTGTTTTTTAAACTCTAAAACATGAAATGTGGAGTTACCTGCTTTTGCTATAAAACAAACTTTTAATATGTAAAAAAAAAACATTTAATTTAGTAAATTACCTGTATTTGTTTAAGTTATTATTACTTAATCAAAACAACCCAACTGCAGTTTGATTGATATTACTTGGAATGCGCAATAAAAAAAAACGTGATTTCTGAAAAAAATTAAAATGGAGTTATCGGTTTTTGCAAATTCACTTTTCAAATATTCAGTAAATAATTATATTTTTGCATTTGCGCTAAAAAAACAAAAAGGTTTTTTTTTTTTTGTTCCAGATAGAACAGCTATGGACCCTTTTAACATTTCCGGGTTCTCAGTAGCGCAAGCGTCATAGATAAGTAAACTTTTATGGAAACTACAACAAATATAATTTTTGGTATTCCCATTTGCTCCAAAAAAAAATAAAACATCACTGACAGTGTTTCTCTAACATAAAAGAGGAACAAATATCAAGCGATTATGTTGGCCTGAAGAGAGAAAGATGTCAAATTTGCCGTCACTCATTATGTAATTTAATCCCCAGGCATGAAAACACAAAGTACAGTGTTATAAATGCACAGTATATTTAACATTTTTTAAAACACGTTGCTAGATGTATGATGTTACTAACTGTGGAAATCATCACAGTCTGTGAAAAGGGTCCACTGTTAAAATGTACAAACTGTTTACTGCAAAATCATCTCGTTAAAAAAGCATAATAATAAAGACAGTGACCACTTTGCTTTTTACTAAATAAACAAAAGGAATACGAAAAAAATCATACGTACTTAACGATACAAAGTACGAGCAAAAAGCGCTCCCTTTATAATAACTGAAGCTGTCAATCACTTCAGCACAAGTTTACTGAGCTCTGCACTCTTGCGAAAACATTTGCTATGATTAAAATTGTCTAAACTGCACGACAAATCTCTTATGTACATTACATTTCTACTTTGTTGGTTATAAAGAGAGGATTTACGAGCACGTAGAACATAAGTGAGTGATCTGAATGAAAACGGCAGGGTTTTGAGCGGTTCTGAGTGACGGAGAGCTTAAACACCTCTGATAGGTCATCGCGTTCGGCACTCAACAGACATGTCTGTGATTGGCTACAATGCTCAACACTGCAAAAACACTGTTAAAGGGATAGTTTCTCTGAGCTGCAGCTGATAAGATGCTTCATTTCAGAAGTTGTTGGCAGGCGATCAAAGAATGAGGGTTTAAAGGGGTTTTTGAACTTCCTAAAGACACCTTCTGTCTCCAAGCATGGCACTTTCTACTCGAATCTGACATTCGAAAACAAGTCCACATCACAAGCCAAGCTAACCTTCATTTCCTTGCAAAAACACATACTGTGAAACCAAATTGACTGTCTTGGCTTGAGGGCAAAAATCTATTTGTGGAGCATGACAAACTTTATTTTCCTCCAATAAAAAACAAGCCCTTAACGCCAACTGCCTCTTACATTAGCATGTTGGCGGATTATTTTACAGATGTCCTTGCTACGTTTCTGGACCTTGATCGTGTAAGGACCCTTGCTGTCTATGGGAGGGTCAGAGAGCTCTCAGATTCCATCAAAAATATCTTAATTTGTGTTCCGAAGATGAACGAAGGTCTTACAGGTTTGGAACAACATGAGGTTGAGTAATTAACAACAGAATTTTCATTTTTGGGTGAACTAACCCTTTAAACACACCCCATGAAAGTTGACCAAAATTCTCTCTTTTCCTCCCCAGCCAAGTGCTGGCAGTTGCAGCTCAAGACCCAAAGTGTCATGGGGCGACAGGTTAACCATCTAGCCAGACTGAAACATGAATGAGCATCAGATTTGCCAGTTATATCCGAACGCTCCAAGACATCTGGAGCGGCACAATGACTTCACAGATTTGTCCGAGAGGCTGGTGGACTGCACCAGCACCACTTCAGAAGACCACAGAGATTTGCACAGTTAATGCCAATGGAGAGTGAATACAGTCACACACACACACACACACACACACAGACACACACACCCTCTCTATGATGGAGTGCCAGAACAGCTTATTGATTAGATGCTGGATGTAAGTGTTAAAGGGTCATATTATATTTTTCAAAGCATCGTGTTTTCATAATTTTTTTTTGCCTCTGAGGTCCACTCATAATATTGGATTTTGATGAATATTTTGTGCCCTCTCTCTGACCCTCAGAATTAAAAAAGCCAATTTTGAAAAAAAGAAAATATTTTGAAGAATGCTGGTAACAAAACTGTTTTGGTGCCTAGTGACTTGCACTGAATTAAAAAATATCAAAAAAAAAAAAAAATCCGAGCCAGCAATCTCTAATAATTACATGGAAAGAGATGGCATCGCAAACGACTGTGATTGGTCCATTCTAAACACCGCGGTGAAAAGTACGCTCTTTTTTTTTGTGGCGCTTCAGAAGCGGACATTAAAGGGGTCATATGATGCGATTTCAATTTTTCCTTTCTCTTTGTCTCAAAGACTAAAGTCTCAAATCCAAAGAGATATTCTTTATAAAAGTTAAGAGTCAGTCACGCCTACCTAAAACACCTCGTTCTAACACGCCCCCACATGTCTACCTCACTATGTGGGAAGATTTGCATAATGCCGCCCAAATGTTCACGTAAAGAAAGAAGGCGTAACTTTGATTCTCGCTGTAGTATTGTTGCCGCCGCCATGTCGTGAAGACGTTGTGTGCTTCGTTGTGAAAGCGAAACTACTTTGTTTGGTCTTCCAAAAGATGACGATATCTGCTTCGTCATGCCTGGAGATGATCCATGCTGGTCGCTGAGGAAATGCATAAACTTCACGCTGTGGAAGCTTCGCGCGGCTTTCACCGTGGACGAAGCGGAGTCCAGCCCGGGGTCGTCACATGTGGTTGCCGCAGGCAGCACAGTATGGTAAGGGGTGTAACATTTCCATCACACGCTTGAGGAATTCGGCCAATCACAACGCACTGGATAGCTGGCCAATCACAGCACGCCTCGCTTTTCAGACCGATGAGCTTTGTAAAAATCGACGTGTTTCAGAAAGGCGGGGCATAGAGGAGAAACAATAATGTACAGTATGTGGAAAATAATGTGTTTTTTTTACCTTAAACCGCATAAACACATTTCATTACACCAAATACACAACATAATGTTCTTTTTAGCAACGTCCTATGACCCCTTTAATGTCTTGGCATGAATTATTTCTGACTGAATAATGATACTAAGAAACTTTAATAATATCTGTGAATTGAAAATACAAATTCAAGCGCTAAAACATAATAAATATTGTTTTGATACCTATCGAGCCCCGCCCATTTCGTCTTTCTTTGTTTCAGATTGACAGTCATTCCACCAGCACCATTAATGTTCAGTGAATTGTCCTGTATATGTGTCCGTATGATAACAGGTCTTTAAATCCATTAAGGAAATATACAATTTAATAATTCTTATTGCATGCTTTACAACTTTCACAACTTAGTGTTGCAAATTAATTGAGCTTTAATTTCTGTTGTGTGTTTAGTGCGCCCCCTACTGACTAATGAGTGGAACACCCACTATCATCCATTCAGTGTACTGTCTGTGTATTTCATATACTAACATACAATATAAAAAGAACAGTCTTATAACAAACACTCAACATCTGCTTTAATAATCATTTATATGTAACAGTATATTTCTCTCTCTCGTTATGATCTGCAGGAATAGTGTGCCTGTATCCTGCAGGACGGCTGTAAGGACCAATGATGTATTCATGCATGTCTTCTTTAAGCTCACTCTTGGCACAGTCTACCTAAACAGGTATTTAACTGTGCACTGAAAAAAAATCATATTTCCAGAATATACTCTGCTCATATTCTGCACACATATTAAACACCATAAAAAACACTGAGACTAATTACAAAATATGAAGGGTAAAAAAATAAAAATAAAACACTTTTCCAACGAGTCCAGACAGATCCCTCTGTAATTATAATCAGAGCCTGCAGTAAAATGATCATTATCATATTATTGTAATCAGATGCTCTGTGTTGAGAAAGCCCAGCGGCTCTCTGCAGGGAGTTATGACAATAGAAAGAAGAACAAATCATCGGAAACATTCGCTAATTTAGCCCATATTTTGCAGCACATTGTTTTTCCCTGCAAATTCCTACAAACTACATTTAAACGTAAAGAGAAAACATCCTGCTGCATTTGAACACAGATGCCACTTAGTTTGCCATTATGTTGTCTAGGCTAAATTTACATTGCCACAACAAACTCCAGCAAACATGGTTGTTGGGTTTTGCTGGATCAGTGTGTTGGTAACTGTATGAATTTCTATCCTCTGCTGAACATAAAAGAAGATATTTTGAAGAATGTTGGTAACCAAATATTTTCTGGTCCCCATTGACTTCCATAGAATTTTTCCCCCATACTATGGAAGTCAACGGCTACCAGCAGCTGTTTGGTTACCAGCATTCTTCAAAATATCTTCTTTTGTGTTCCACCGAAAAAAAGAAACTCGTACAGATCTGGAACAACTTGAGGGTGAGTAAATGACATAGTATTAATTTTTGGGTGAACTCGGTTTAATATTACATATAGTCTGTGATTAGATAAAACAAATATTCACATAGGATACAGCAAAGATTTTCCTCAAAGCATGTGCATAACATGAGCAAATGTTCAGAAAAGTGACAAACCCAGGGAATAATTACATGTCTTAATCATAACCACCAAAAACTGGTGGTGATGAGAAAGTCCCACGATGAACCTAAACTCATCACAAACAGCTTTTCTACGAGCTGAGGAGGACAATACTTATATATAGAAGGTGCACACAGTGTCATTCACACAAACACTAAACCCCATCATGGTGACACACATGATACTGAAATAATGCAATACACATTAATTTAACAACATTAGATGTAAGATTAAACCCTAGTGTACACAACTGATAAGAAAAACATCAAATATGAAGTGTCATGCAGGGAATTCTGGGAGTGTCAATGTACATTTTTTCACCATAAATTATACAATGACTTTTTTTTCACTTCCAAAAACCGTATTTTTACCAGTATTTTACTGTAAAAATCACATTAAATGTAATTACATTTATTCACCGAATATAGTGTGGAAACTTACTGATAACCAGTTAACAGGTTTTTACTGTAGCATTTTACTGTCTTTTACTGTTAAAATCACAATCATTTTTTACAGTGCAGAATAGTATGTGCATATACTGTACGCCAGTGTTGCCAGAACAGGTGGACGATTTCCAGCCCAAAAGCTCACCAAAACCCGCCCAAAACTTTAACTTTTTAACAAAATAATGTGATCGAATTTTATTGCCATGTCAATCAAGGTTGATAAGGACCATTTTTAACTCCTTAAAACAAAATGAAGATGACAAAATAATATATAAAAAGATCAATTTCCCAGGAAAACAGATCAAATCAGTGCAAATACATTTACGAGAATAACCAAATAGAAATGTCCAGGTAAGACACCAGCTTTGCCATGTACGGCAATCAAGGAATTAACCGATACCCTCTGAAAAAACACGTGCATCATTTCAGTGTCAACAGTCAGAATAAGCCAATTTAAATGCAAAAAGCACCAAGTATAAGTGATCGGAAGCAACATAATTAGCAGGTATGCACGTTCATGCACACACCATGACAGTAAAAAAACGGTGTCATTCATTGATACTGTCCGATAATCCGATAACAAAAAATTTACAACAATAAAGCGCTTTGCTGCACTTTAACTTCAGACAGAACTAGAAGTCTTTTGTGAAGTACATTGCAGAACATAATACAGAACTTTGCACTGTAAAAACTAATCAAGTTCACCAGCTTTCTGATGCAGGACAGAATCGTATGTCTTGCAGACGTACGTGTGCGATCTGGGATACAAGATGCAAGTGTGGAACATAATGTTGTAATTGTAATTGGCACCACAATCACATGTAGTGTTATTGGGAAATTATGTATGATTGAAGGAAAATTTTGTTTTTAGAGCTCTTATGAGAAAAAAGAGCGTTTCACTGCCTCAAAAGGCTCACTTTCAAAGCCTGCCTCACGCACTACAGAGGAATGCGACACCATGTGGTGTGTTGGCATTGAAGATGTGTGATTATAGTAAATATGACATGTTCATTAAAATCGAATGATACTTTGCAGTTCATTTTTCTCGTTACTTTCTCAGTTTGCAGAACATATATTCTTTAAAATACCGTCATTAAGTTTTCCAATGCGCCACAAGGTATAACAAGATTCACAACAGAGATCGCATCAACTCTACTCCGCCAATCTGGTATGGCTTTGTAAACTCATGAATGGTATTGATGTGCTTTTTGATGTGCATCACTTTGAAAATTTTCCAAAACAAGGGAAATTCTTTAATCATACCCCATCCACTGTCTTAAGTGACCTGTGCCACTTTTGTGGCGAGGCAGAGACATTTGACGACTCTGTGGATGTTCTTTGGGTAACTATGATGTTTAGTTGTGTGTAGCATAATTTTAATAATGAATGGTCCAGCAGAAATGCTCACATTATTGTTTTAAAACAATGTTTTTATAGTTACTTTTTACACATATACATTGTGATGGCTGTGGCAATGGTTCCAGTTGGGGTGTGTGGACAATCCATCTACAGAGGATAACTACAAAAGTGCTTTTCTTGTAATAAATCACATTAAATTATGAAGCCTTTGTTTCTGGAGAGTTTTTTTGGGTAACTTTGTTTGGGTAAATTGTTACACTTACTAGAAAATCAGTTCCTCAAAACAAGCATTATGTCTTTTTCTTTCATAACATGTAAAATACAATATTAAAAACACAACTGTGACAATAATTGTGAACTAAATATGCCTGTGCTATTATCCGTAATATCATAATCAGAAAGAGCTTTATTGCCAAGTGTGCACACACAAGGAATGCTTTTTTGAAGCTTCCAGTGTGCACATATAAATACAACAACAGCAAGACACGTAATAATAAAAATAAATGAGGATAAATGAATAACAATAAGACAAGACAGTGTAAGACAGAATAGCCAAAGCCTTAAACATTACATTGAAATCGTCAATAAGTTTGATTGGAAAAACTAAGCAGGAATAAATTTCAAGTTGGAAAACTTCTCTTCTCAAAACCATTTTCAAGTTTCGGAGAAAAGAGTATTTTGAAACATTAGGTTCAATGTAGGTGAACTTGAACTTGAAAAATAGTGTGTATTGATGTCTTTCCGCGTTTGAAACAAGATACCTTCTTCAATTGTTCATTCATGTTTATTTCGTGCTATAACTAGTAAAGAGGATGAGATGATCGATTCATGTGCCGCTTGAACTGACGCACTATAGCGATCTGTCACGACACATTAAAGAGCCACAAAACTGTATTTATTGTTTGAATTTCTTACAAAGCAACGATACAATTTGAAAGCTGAGACTTTGTTTCATACTAAAAGTAACCTGCTTTGTCTTGTCTGTCGGTGTTCTTTTTGCTCCCTAATGTTTTTTCACTGCGTGAGCGCCATGGCTTGTCAGACATAGCAAAAGTAACTAAGGGGGGTGGGTTTTTGCGAAGGGTCAATTGCACTATTACAATGACTATAAAACCATTATGAACAACCTAGCAACCCCTTGGAAAAGCCCTAGCAACCTCCAAGAGCACTCTAATAGCCACCTAGAAATGACCTAGCAACATCTGCATAGCAATGCCCTGGCAACCACCCAGCACATTATAGCAAACACCTAGAAATGCTTTAGCGACCAACCCAAACCCCTAGAGAATATGAAATGCCATAACATCCACCCAGAACACCCTAGCAACCATTGATATATCTTACCAACCACTAGAAATGCTCTAACAATCATTAAAAAAAAAAGAAGAAGAAAAAAAAATCAGGGCACCTTAACATCTGCAACCAACCCAAACCCCTACCCTTCTTCAATTGTTCATTCATGTTTATTTCGTGCTATAACTAGTAAAGAGGATGAGATGATCGATTCATGTGCCGCTTGAACTGACGCACTATAGCGATCTGTCACGACACATTAAAGAGCCACAAAACTGTATTTATTGTTTGAATTTCTTACAAAGCAACGATACAATTTGAAAGCTGAGACTTTGTTTCATACTAAAAGTAACCTGCTTTGTCTTGTCTGTCGGTGTTCTTTTTGCTCCCTAATGCTTTTTCACTGCGTGAGCGCCATGGCTTGTCAGACATAGCAAAAGTAACTAAGGGGGGTGGCTTTTTGCGAAGGGTCAATTGCACTATTACAATGACTATAAAACCATTATGAACAACCTAGCAACCCCTTGGAAAAGCCCTAGCAACCTCCAAGAGCACTCTAATAGCCACCTAGAAATGACCTAGCAACATCTGCATACTGGCAACCACCCAGCACATTATAGCAAACACCTAGAAATGCTTTAGCGACCAACCCAAACCCCTAGAGAATATGAAATGCTATAACATCCACCCAGAACACCCTAGCAACCATTGATATATCTTACCAACCACTAGAAATGCTCTAACAATCATTAAAAAAAAAGAAGAAGAAAAAAAAAAAATCAGGGCACCTTAACATCTGCAACCAACCCAAACCCCTACAGACTACATAGAAACGCCCTAGCAACCACCCAGAACACCCTAGCAACCATTGAGATCTCTTACCAACCACTAGAAATGCTCTAACAATCATAAAAAAAGAAGAAGAAGAAGAAAATCAGGGCACCTTAGCATCTGCAACCAACCCAAACCCCTACAGACTACATAGAAACGCCCTAGCAACCACCCAGAACACCCTAGCAACCATTGAGATCTCTTACCAACCACTAGAAATGCTCTAACAATCATAAAAAAAGAAGAAGAAGAAGAAAATCAGGGCACCTTAGCATCTGCAACCAACCCAAACCCCTACAGACTACATAGAAACACCCTAGCAACCACCCAGAACACCCTAGCAACCATTGAGATATCTTACCAACCACTAGAAATGCTCTAACAATCATAAAAAAAGAGAAGAAGAAAAAAAAATCAGGGCACCTTAACATTAGCAACCAACCCAAACCCCTACAGACTACATAGAAACGCCCTAGCAACCACCCAGAACACCCTAGCAACCATTGAGATCTCTTACCAACCACTAGAAATGCTCTAACAATCATTAAAAGAAGAAGAAGAAGAAAAAAATCAGGGCACCTTAACATTAGCAACCAACCCAAACCCCTACAGACTACATAGAAACACCCTAGCAACCACCCAGAACACCCTAGCAACCATTTGGGATATCTTACCAACCACTAGAAATGCTCTAACAATCATTAAAAGAAGAAGAAGAAGAAAAAAATCAGGGCACCTTAACATCTGCAACCAACCCAAACCCCTACAGACTACATAGAAACACCCTAGCAACCATTGTGATCTCTTACCAACCACTAGAAATGCTCTAACAATCATAAAAAAAGAAAAAAAATCAGGGCACCTTAACATCTGCAACCAACCCAAACCCCTACAGACTACATAGAAACACCCTAGCAACCACCCAGAACACTCTAGCAACCATTAAGATCTATTACCAACCACTAGAAATGCTCTAACAATCATTAAAAATTATTATTTTTTTTTAAATCAGGGCACCTTAACATCCGCAACCAACCCAAACCCCTACAGACTACATAGAAACACCCTAGCAACCACCCAGAACACTCTAGCAACCATTGAGATCTATTACCAACCACTATAAATGCTCTAACAATCATAAAAAAAGAAAAAGAAAAAAAAATCAGGGCACCTTAACATCTGCAACCAACCCAAACCCCTACAGACTACATAGAAACACCTTAGCAACCACCCAGAACACCCTAGCAACCACTGAGATCTCTTACCAACCACTAGAAATGCTCTAACAATCATAAAAAAAGAAGAAGAAGAAAAAAATCAGGGCACCTTAACATCTGCAACCAACCCAAACCCCTACAGACTACATAGAAACACCCTAGCAACCACCCAGAACACCCTAGCAACCATTGAGATATCTTACCAACCACTAGAAATGCTCTAACAATCATAAAAAAAGAAAAAGAAAAAAAAAATCAGGGCACCTTAACATCTGCAACCAACCCAAACCCCTACAGACTACATAGAAACACCCTAGCAACCACCCAGAACACTCTAGCAACCATTGAGATCTATTACCAACCACTAGAAATGCTCTAACAATCATAAAAAAAGAAAAAGAAAAAAAAAATCAGGGCACCTTAACATCTGCAACCAACCCAAACCCCTACAGACTACATAGAAACACCCTAGCAACCACCCAGAACACTCTAGCAACCATTGAGATCTATTACCAACCACTAGAAATGCTCTAACAATCATAAAAAAAGAAAAAAAATCAGGGCACCTTAACATCTGCAACCAACCCAAACCCTTACAGACTACATAGAAACACCCTAGCAACCACTGAGATCTCTTACCAACCACTAGAAATGCTCTAACAATCATAAAAAAAGAAGAAGAAGAAAAAAATCAGGGCACCTTAACATCTGCAACCAACCCAAACCCCTACAGACTACATAGAAACACCCTAGCAACCACCCAGAACACCCTAGCAACCATTGGGATCTCTTACCATCCACTAGAAATGCTCTAACAATCATAAAAAAAAAAAAAAATCAGGGCACCTTAACATCTGCAACCAACCCAAACCCCTACAGACTACATAGAAACACCCTAGCAACCACCCAGAACATCCTAGCAACCATCGAGAACTGTTAGTAACCACCAAGAAATGCTCTAACAACTATCAAAAAAGAAACCCTTCCAACACATTTAGAGCACCTTAACATCTGCATAGAAACACCCTGGCAACCACCCAGAACACACTGGCATGTTTGTGAGTTTCCACATTGTCTTCAGAAGTAACGCTCACATAGAAACATGCTAAAAAAGCACTCAGACGACCTTTACAATTGCATTGCAATGACAACAGAACCACTCTGAACAACTTAGCGACCCCTTAGAACAGCCTTAGGAACCACCTAGCATTATGGTTATGAGCTTTCACATTGTCTTGAAAAGTAACGCTCCTCGTTAGCTTTGAACAGAGTATA